CATATTTAATCTTCATCTGACTATTTTTAACTTCTTGAAGGAACTGATAAAGACTTCTCGGGAGGAAATGACTTTCTTCATACCTTATGGAAGAGTTCTTTATGAACTTTTCTATAAGTTAGGGATAGTTAGGGATAATGTTGAAGTTGAGTGGACTGGGAAGTTTGAATTTGTTGAGTAGTTTTCTTTGTTGTGTTGTTTTTTTTTTAATTATTACCAATGAAATATTTCTTTTTCTATTATTGTATATTCTTGTTTATTTATAACAAAGTTTTTAGCATTTTGGAAAAGACGCCAAGTGATAAATCGTTGAAAAAAGTTTTAAATGTTGCAACGGGGATTCAAACTGAGGTTCCTTATAGCTATATTACCTCAGTTCTCAAGAAAACCGAGATAACATGTTTATTAATTTTTTTATGGATAAAAAAACACTAACTTAATTGTTTATTTACCTCGGTTTTATATAACGCTAGCGTAACATGTTGTCTATCTTATTAAAAAAAAATAAAACATTGCGCTCCCAGGACACATCCTCTCGTTTTTTAGCATGTTGAAGATGAAAGCTTTTTCATAAAAAGTGTTATTCGTTGTAGTGAAGAGATACAAAGCTTGACTAGTGGTCAAGGGATTCCAGCAAAAAGAAGGAGTTGATTACACATATATTTTTGCCCCAGTTGTAAAGCTCAATAATATCATGTCAATGTTAAGTATTACTGCCAGTGAAGAGCTTTTCTTGAGCAGTTAGACATGAATACTACATTTCTTCATGGAGACTTAGATGAGGAGATATACATGCACCAACCTGGAGGATTCTCAGAAAAAAGGGAAAGAGACATGGTATTCAAATTAAAGAAGAGCTTGTATGGCCTGAAACAAGCTCCAAGATAGTGGTACAAAATGTTTGAAAACTTCATGCACAAGGAAGGTTTCCAGAAGTGCAATGTCGATCACATTTGCTTCTTCAAGATATATAACTCTAGTTATATATTTTTGCTACTTTATATCGATGATATATTAGTGGCAGGTTCAAATAAGGACGAGATCAGAAACTTGAAGATGCAGTTGTCAAAAGAATATGATATGAAGGACTTGGGTCCTGCAAAGAATATCCTTAGAATGCAAATCACGGGAGATAAGAAAAAGGGAGTTTTACAATTATCTTAGGTAGAGTATATCAATCGTGTTTTGCAAAGATTCAACCTAATCAACGCCAAACCAGTTAGCCCACCTTTGGCAAACTATTTTTGCTTATCCAATGAACAATCACCTCAAACAGAGGAGGAGAAAGAACTCATGGCTAAGATTACATATGCCTTAACCATAGGAAGGTTGATGTACACAATGGTATGTACGAGGCCATACATTGGCCATGTAGTGGGGGTTGTTAGCAGGTTTATATTAAATCCAGGTAACGCTCATTGGGAAGCAGTTAAGTAGATTTTGATGTATCTACAAGGCACCACATAGAAGTGTTTGTACTTCAGTAAAGGATAAATTAAAGTACAAGGCTATGTAGATGCATACTTTGTAGGCAAGGTCGATCACTGAAGAGGTACTACTAATTACATATTCATTATTGGTACTACAACAGTTAGTTGGATGTCAGAAGTACAAAAAATTGTTGTTATATCCACTAGAGGTTGAATATGTAGCAGTAACTAAAGTTAGCAAAGAGTTGACATGACTTCAAGGGTTTTTGACAGAGTTGAGTTTCATCCAGAAGCAAAGTGCCTTACATAGTGATGGTCAAAGTGAAATATATCTTGCAAAGAGTTCAACATTTCATTCAAGAATAAAGCTCATTGATCTTCGTTATCACTTTATCAAATATCTCATTGAGGATGAGGTATTAACATTGAAGAAGATACAAGGAAGAAAGAATCCAGCGGACATGTTAACAAAGGTGGTAATCATTGATAAACTGAAGTTGTGCTCAACTTCAGTAGGCCTGCTGAAGTAACAGATCAGAGAAGGTTGTTGATGATTGATGTGTCAATATCGATTGCAATCAATCTTCAAGTGAGAGATTGTTAATTAATATTATTAGCTATCTACTGTGAAGCAATCTTAACCAAGTAGAAAGGTGTATGAGTAACACGTGGTGTAGTGCATGCTTTATAAAGGACACTTGGTGTTTTGCATGTAAAGAAAAATGCAAGTGGCGTTATGCATGTAAGGCACTAACACATGTTATGGTGCATAATTTACAAAGGACAATTGGTGTTTGACATGGAAGGAAAATGCAAGTGTCTTCGTGCATGTAAGACACTCACATGTTATAGTGCATGATTTACAAGAGACACTTGGTGATTTGCATGGAAGTAAAAGAACAAGTGTTTTCATGCATGTAAGACACATTTGGTTTACTTCTTCTACAAATAGGACCATAAGCAAAACATTCAATTTATTCCAGCATTGAGAGAAAATCATTACAACCTTGAGAGAGTTTCAAGAGAATTGGAGAGTTTTTTAGTTATTGAAATTCTTACGTGTAATTGAGTTTTTGAGTTTTTGGTAGTGAGGGATTGTGAGTGTTTGTAAACACTTAGTGTAAATTCCCCTTTTCAATAGAAAAATCTGCAGCAATCTGGAGACATGAACATACTTGACCAAACTCCTTTATCAATCTTTGTGTTTTATTATTCTGCATTTATCGTTTTTCATTAATCTGACTTTGGGGAAATTCAGTGAAGTTTCTTAACAAATGATATGTTTAAAAATTATCAAACAACAATCACCATATATTTTATAAAGTTTGAAGAGGAATTGATCAATATTTTCACTAAGTCCCTCAAAATCTATCGAGTTGATTACAGTTATAACATGTTCAACTTATATGAAATATATGATTTGTTTTGATGGAGAGTGTTAAAAGTGCAAATAATTAGAGATTCTAATTGATAATTTAATGTTCGACTCATATGAAATATATGATTTGTCTTGACAGAGAGTGTTAAAAATAAGGATAATGTTAATATATGTGCGCTCTAAGAACGTATAGATATATGTTAAAAGTTAAACGTGAAAATTATTTATTGAAAATTTTGCATTATTTTAATTAAAAATTAATAATTAATGTTTTCATTGTCTTTTTCAACACAAACTTTCTATTTTTAGGTTTCTTAAATGTGCTCTTCAGACACATGTTTGTATTACCCTAAAAATAATTAGAGACTCTAATTGATAATGTAATTGTTAAAATTGATTAGATTGTTTTATTTGTACATCTCTCTTGATTACCAATTTACACCGAGTGGTTTCATTAGACACACACAAAGTAGCATATAGTTTTTACAAACAATAAACAGTTAAAGATTAAAAGATATGTATTGTCATGTAAAGTTATGTTACATTGATATTTAACCACACCTCTTCAATATATCAATCATATTTGATACTTCATAAATAAAAACAGTTATGTAACTTTCTGTTTTGTTTGCAAGTTGTAATCTATAGTCTGTAAAATAACTTTAGTGCATTGTCTTAAATATCATAAAAGTTAAAACAAAAATATGGATGTTAAATTAAATTAACATATATTCTAAAATTTAATGATAGATGTTCACGTATGAGAAAATAAATCACACAAATATACACACATTTATGGTCATATGAAGTAAGGTGTTATGCAAGTATAAAGGTAAATATATGATTTGGTAAATGGATCTTCTAGGCAATGAAAATTGTGCTACTAAAGAGTGTACAATAACTACACTGCCAAACATACTATGCAGTAATAGCACAAAGGTTTCAATGCAACCAAACAACATAAATAGTCCTGCCAGTCTATGCTCTCATTTACTCATTTGCCCCTGTATACTGTGCTTGAATTGAATTGGTTTTTAACTTAGTCCCTATTCATTCATTTGGCTACTCTAACAACATTGACCAGCTTTTTATCACATTGTTTATTATGCTATTGCTAATGAAGTAAAACATTTGGTCACAATAATTCTTAGTTGGCACATGCTTTGTGCAATTTCATGTTGGATTAATTAATTTATAATAGTTGTGATACTCAAACCATCAAACCTTCTGCCATTTTCTGGTAGATTGTATAGTTAAGCATGTGATGTATCATACTATCATGTATGTTTCATTTTAAGTACAGTTCTAGCTATAGTTTGGTATTTACAGTGTTTCGGTTAAAAGAATGATCTTCAATCTACAGGGTAAACACAAGTTCTATTACCACCATGTCACTGAATAATTGTCACAGAGGACTAACCATTATTAAAAAATAACTTTAGTTAAAATAACAATATTCCTGAATCTGTAACTTTATGATAAAAAAATATTTACATGAGGGAAAAAAACTTTAGGATATTTTTTGATACCTGCACTGCATCTCTCATTTTCCAAGTCACAGAAAAGAGAAAAGGGTCAAATTTTGTAAGTGGGGTGTGTCCTGAGGCAGAGTTCTGAGGCTGGGTGAACTGTGAAGTAAAGGAACAGAAAAAGTAAAATGAGTTAGTAGCAGTAAAAGCTTCAACCGTACAATCTTTCTGAGACAGAGGCATTACCAACTCTCTTTTAATAGTTTTTCATATACAATAATACTAATAATAACTATTTCCTCTTTTGTCTTTACCAACTTTACTTTTTTTCTCTCTCTTTTTCTCTCTCTCACTCTATCTCTCTCTTTTATTTTATGGATTTCCGTAAATATGTCAGAGACAAGAGATGCCAGAGATGCAGAAGCAGCAGCAACAGAGGAGGTGCAGTCATAATAAGAGGTCAGAGAAAAAAAATAGAAAGAGAAAAATAGCATTAGCATGCAGCACTGTAATCAGAACCATTAGTTCATATTATCATACACATGTACACAAGATTCTGCAACACAATGGCCCCTCAAATAAATATACCTACTCTACTACTCTCCTCTCAAGTTTCAAGCTCAACACTCTAACTCCTCCTCTCAATAGTATTTTTTTTACTCATACTCTTTTCTCTGCAAGAACAAGCTTTGTTTCTTTGATTCCTTTTCTACCCTTTTTTTTATGATGAATGGAAGAAACAGGTATCCTTTTACTCCTTCTCAATGGCAAGAGCTTGAACATCAAGCTCTTATCTACAAATACATGGCTTCTGGTATCAATATTCCACCTGATCTTCTCTTCACTATCAAAAGAAGCTACTTGGAATCTCCTCTCACTACTTCAAGGCTCTCACCTCATCAGTCTCAACACTGTAAGTAGTACTATTCTATGAATCTATGATATATATCCATATGTGTATGAATAGTTTTGTTTGACTTTGACACAAAAAGGGTTTTTTGTTAATTTGGTGTGTGGTGTGTGTTGTGCATGCAGTTGGGTGGAACTATTTGCCAATGGGATTAGGGAGAAAAATAGACCCAGAGCCAGGGAGGTGTAGAAGAACAGATGGAAAGAAATGGAGGTGTTCAAAAGAAGCATATCCAGATTCAAAGTACTGTGAGAGACACATGCATAGAGGTAAAAACCGTTCAAGAAAGCCTGTGGAAGTTTTGAAAACAACAAACACAGATTCTGTTTCTGCTGTTGCTGTTGCTACTTCATCAATCTTATCAATGACTAAAAATAGCACTAGTCTTGATACTGAAAATAACACTGCAGCACTTACCCCAACCTCTCATCATGATAGTACTACTTACCATTATCCTCAACCTCAACTCTCTTCTTATGCTTCTTCTCATCTTCAACACTCTTTCCTCTACCATAATAACCCTCCACCTTCAAGGCCTAGTTTCTCATTTCAAGACAACAACAGTACTGCTCCCATGTTTCTTGACAGTACTGGTTCTTCCTCTCACAATAACAACAACACTGATTGCAGGTTATTTACTTTTCTTTAAACCAGTACCTAGCAGTTTATATCATAAGCACTTTTCATATAACATAAGCTCTTTTTGGTATTGTTGTTGTTTTTGAAGGAACAGGTATGTTTATGGGCTGAGAGAAGAGGTAGATGAGCATGCTTTCTTCAATGAACCATCTGGAACCATAAGAAGTTTATCAGCTTCATCTATGGATGATCAATGGCAACTCACACCACTTACTATAAGCCCATCTTCCACTTCAAAACAGAGGAGTTGCTCTGGTTTATCCAATGATCAGAATGAGTACTCTTATTTACAACTTCAAAGCCTCACTAACAACATCAACAACAACAACAACAACTCAAAACAAGCACAGCAAGATCAAAGCTGTTACATCTCAGGCAGTGAAGAAACATTCATGAAAGATGTGAAAGAAGAACCTCAAAAGATTTTTCATCGTTTTTTCGACGAATGGCCACCGAAAAGCAGCAGAAACTCATGGCTTGATTTGGATGATAAATCATCCACCACTCAGCTTTCAATTTCCATTCCAACATCATCTCATGATTTCACAACTTTCAGTTCCAATAACCAAACAGGTAATTAAATTAAATTAAATTAAATGTTTTCTCTTTGAAGCATTAATACAAACACATACAAGACACTAATTTGCATTTGATTTTTGCAGATAGTTGATTTGAGGGTGGATTTCAATAATAGGTGGGTCCCCTATGATTTAATCCAAGGGCAATAATAATAGTGTTGATTCATATTTTGTGTGAGATTAGGTTGAATTGTTCTATATGTTGTACATGTGGTGTTGTTGAAGTGGATTTGTGTCTCCATGGAGGGATCCAATGTATGGTATTGTTGTTTTTACTAAGTTACTTATGTTGTGTTGTTTGTGGCAAACATGGTTTCAGAATTCAGAATCTAGCAGTTATTTTGGATGTGTGTTTATGTGGTTTAGGGTTATAATTCAAAGACACGTCATATATGTTTGTATGTGGTGAGTACAATATTGGATGCTAGCTTTTCTGGCCCTGCCTATGGGATTTGTTTTTTTCTCTGTCATATTCTCAACTCCCAATACATCATTTTCTTTTCTTTGGATTATATCAAGAAAAATATGTTTTAAGAACTTTAATTTCTTATCATACTTTTTTAAAAAAATATGTGCCTTTATCAAAAGACTTTAATTTTACTATTTTGTCACTCTCTATAAACTATATAATCAGTTATCATATCCACAATGTCAGTTTTGCCAGACCAGCTGAAAGTTCTACGATAGGCATCGATTTTTTTTATTAGGAAGAGGAAAGTAGTGCATCCAGTATTGAACAATGGAGCTAATCAAACTTTTCACCAATTCAACCCTCCTTGCATAACTCAACAGTTTAGTCGACCAATGCTTCATTTTATCAACTATTCTATCAATAAGAGGGAGATAGTGATGTATGCTGAGTTTTTTACTAGATAAGGGAACTCCCAAATATCTCACAAGAAGATGCCCTCTATAAAACCTGTGGACTTAATCATTTTCTCTATGACTAAAGCTTCCACACTTCCAAAATATATCCTACATTTCCTGGTATTAAGAATTCGTTATCAATCAATTAGTATTATTGATATTCAATTAGTCATAACTATAATTGATATTATTTCCTATTGCATATTACCTATTTGCATATAAATATACAATATGAGTGGTCATATTTGATACACAGAGATACAATCTAAATATGGTATCAATGACTGGTTGACCTACTGTCTTTCACAAAAAAAAGTTTTCTCCTTTTTTTCTGGCCATCCACAGCGCCGCCACTGCCAGCCACGTTCGCTGCTGCTCCCGAAGACTTTCCGACGAGGTACCTATACCACCAAAATCGTCTCCTCCGGATCGACTGGAATCCGAAAAAGCCACTGTCAACCGCCAAACGTGTGGTCGTGCGTCCACTGCCCCCCGTTGTCGCTATTTTTCTTGCCGAACTCGTTTTCTGGTCCTCTTTCCAGATTTGCTCTCGATTTTTCGTTCCAGGCCGTCAAATATCATGGGAGATACCGATTCCGTCACGTTCACTAAAGTTCCACTTATTCCGTGTGAGAAACTAATCAGAACAATAAATTATAACATATGGGCTGGTGCCGTCAAGATGTGGTTTCACGGTCAGGGATATGAGAATCATTTAACTACAAAAGTTGATTCTATTCCCGCCGCGAAACGCGATAAGTGGAAACAAACTGATGCTTCTCTATGCATTGTGTTATGGTTTTCCATAGCAACTAATCTCCAAGCACAGTACCAAGCCTTTACCACTTGCTATGAGGTTTGGGAAAAGGCTAAGAAAGTCTTCTCAAATGATGTCTGTTAGAACATAGTTTGATTCTACAATCCTTGTAAGAGTTTTGATGATAATAAACACTCAAAGAACAATTATTCTCCCTAAATAAGTATTTTGTTTTGCATAGAAGTTATGATGGAAGAAGCACAAAAGATGAGTTAGATTGATGTTCAAACTCTGATTCAATACATCTTTTATAAAGAAGTTCTAAAGCTGCAACTTCTGAGTGCCTAAACGCTACGAACAGGAACTCTGTTATTCAGATTCATACAGTTTTGGAAAGAAATAACGGTAACTTTCATCTTCTGAAGCAAGCATGTTCTGAAGCGTTACAATTCACTTATGACTATTCAAAAGTAACAGTTGAAAGGGGACAAGAATGTCTATATTTGGAAAGCTCTTTAATTACTATTTATCAATATTCCAAAAGCTCCCACATGCGTTGCCTATATAAACAAAGCTTGAAGGAGAAATCATTTACGATTTTGCTGCGTACAACAAACGAAATATTTTCATCACCTTCATCTTACAAAATCTCATTTGTGTAAAACATCACTTGTGTGATATTGTTTTATTAGAAAACACATATTGTACACTCTTTTAAATAATGTATTGTGTAATTCCTTGAGAAAATCGAGTTGTGGTTTAAACTCAAGAAGAATTTGACGGTTGTCATAGTAACTATTTAATCAAGTTTGGTTAGTGGATTAAGACCTCGTTGAGAGAGGCGAAATCACCTTGGCGGGTGGACTGGAGTAGTTTGAGTTCAAACGAACCAGGATAATCAACGTGTTTTTAATTTAAGTTTTAAAAACCACAATTCAAACCCCCCCCCCCTTCTTGTGTTTTTCCATTCCTCAATTGGCATGTCAGAAAAAGATCTAAGCAAGAAAAACACTATGGTGGGACCAAGTCAGAACGTCAGCAATGATTACCATGATGAGAAAGATAGAATCAGCGGAAAACTTCCAATCTTTGATGGTGAAATATTTGATTACTGAATAGACAGAATCGAAAGTTTCTTTCTAGCTCATGATGATGATCTTTGGGATATGGTGACTGATGGGTACATACATCTTATTGATGAAAATGGTCAGAAGATTGACAGAAAAAGAATTACATATCATCAAAAGTGAGAATTCAGAAATCATCACAAGGCCAGAACTATTCTCTTGAGTGTTATCTCATACACAAAGTATGAGAAGATCATAAACAAAGAGTCAGCAAAACACATGTTTGACTCCTTGAGAATGACGCATGAAGGAAGAACGCAAGTCAAAGAAACCAAAGCTCTTGCTCTCATTCAGAAGTATGAAGCTTTCAAAATGGAAAAAGATGAAACCATTGAAACCATGTTCTCAAGATTTCAAATTTTGGTTGCTGGGCTAAAAGTTTTGGACAAAGGGTACTCAACTGCTGATCATGTAAAGAAGATCATTCGAAGTTTACCCAAGAAATGGAGACCCATGATCAAAGCTCTTAAACTGGCCAAATATCTTAACAAAATCTCTCTCGAAGAACTTGTCAGCTCCCTGAGAAGTCATGAGATAGAGTTAGAAGAAGATGATCCCCAGAATTAAGGTAAGTCTTTAGCTATTAAATCTAACAAAAAATATGAACCAAAAATTCTGCATGCAAAAGAAGAAAACTCTGGTGGATCCTCATCAAAAGAAGACGAATTGTCTTTTCTCTCGAGAAGAGTCAATCAGTTGTGGAAGCACAGTAAGAGGAAGTTCAGAACTTCTAGAAGAATAGGGAATAATTATGAACCATCTTCTAGATACGGAAAATCAAGTAACAGAGACATTTTCTGCTACAAATGCAATAAACAAGGGCATTACAAAAGCGATTGTCCAAATCTTCAAAAAGAGAAACCTAAAAAGAAGTTCTTTAAGGAAAAGAAGAAAAGCCTCATGGCAACATGGGATGACTCAGACTCTTCTGAAGCTGAAACAGAACTAGAAGATGAAAGAGTCAACATAGCCCTAATGGCCAAAGTGTCAGATGACATTGGATCATCTAGATCAGAATCAGACTTAGAGGCAGAAGAGGTATTCTCTAACTTTTCTAGATCTTAATTAGAAGAAAGTCTGTCAGAAATTCTTGAAAGATATAAGAAACTTTGAGTCATAAATAAGAATCTGAAAAAGGATCTAGTTTCTGACTCTGAAGAAACTAAGAAACTGGGATCATAAAACTTTGAGCTTAAAGAAATAATTTCTAAACTAGAAAATAAATTACAAAAGGCTCAGAAAGAAACTGTCTCAGAAGTTCCTAGTAACTCTGATAAGATCCTAAAGGAATATGATCATAGTTGTTGTACCCCAAAATTTTCCATCCCATTTTTCTTTAAAGCATTCTCTCAAGGCTCTTCAAATGGTCAAGGCACCCAAGGGTTGACTAGTCAAGATGCACCTCCTAGACCAAAAGCCTACAACTAGGGTTTGGAGTTTCTCAAGGAAATTTGGTCTGCAAAAGTATCAAGTGGCTCCCATGTTTCTTAGTAGGTCCTCAACAAGACTCATGTCAAGTTTCAAGCCCTACATCACAAGTTTGCTCATTCAATGGCTCAGATGCTTGAATATCAAATGTATTGATCAAAAAGTCAACTATGGTCAACATACAGTCAAACTTCAAGATTTTTGGTCAACATTAACATTTTGAAGTGATATTCATCATTTTATCAAGGGTTGATCATAATTCCCCAAGGAAAGTCCTCTGATCATCAAAAGTCAAGATTTGTCAAACTAGGGTTTCCTTAGGAGAAGTCAACTGAACTTTGACCAAGCATAACTTTCACATGCTTCATCAACTTTTCCCCAACCAAAGCCCATTTTTAATAAAACTCAATACTCCACAACTTTGCTATTGTTGTCAAGTCAAAAAAATTCTTCATTGGGAAGATATGATCTCATACATTATAGGTCATTTTCAAAAGTCAACAAAAGACACTTTTTGTCAAGAAAACTTACATCAAGATGATGTCTTCAAAAGCAAAAATGATAAACATATAGATTGAAAGGGACATCTTGGGCTTTCCAAAAAGTCAAAGATCAACTTAATAAGATGAAAATTAAGAAAGTTATGAGGTGCACAAGTTGGGCAATTTTCAAGAAATGCATGAAGTCAACTTTGAGCAAAATTGCATTTTTAGGTTAATGAACCTAACTTTTAGGGTTCAAACATGTTTATGACATACCAAATGACATCTAAAACCTAACCATGCACTATTGTGATTTTTATTTTTATTTATTTGAATTTTTATTCATTTAAATATGATTTAAATCAAATAAATTAGATAAAAACACAAGCAAATCATGGGCTATGCATATGGGCTGAATTTGATCCACTTTGGAGCCCATTAATTCGTGCAAAACACATGAAATATGTCCTGGTTCATGCTCCAAACAAAAGTGGCAAGAATCACATCATTTAGGCAATTTTTCAAATTTTTATTTTGTCATGAAACCATGGTTTAATGCCTTGATCTCTTGCCTTGTTTCCACCCTCACTCACTCCTATATAAATACAATGCATTGCAAACCCAAAGAGGGCACAAAATTCTATATGCAAAAACTCTCCAAAATCTCTCCAAAAAAGCTCTCCAAAACTCTCCAAAAAAATCAAAGAATTGGTGCAAGTCATATCTCAAAGTTCCAGCCTCTCTCGATTAAAACCAAGCCTCGAGCCATCCTCTTGAAGTCCCCAGGAGTTTTTTACAAGGCCCAAGATCAGTCCATCACAAGCTTAGAACGCACCCATTTGATAACACCGGTTTGGTAAATTTTAAAATTTTAAATCTCTAATTTTAATCATATTTCATGGTATGTTAACATTTGTTTGAGTTTATATGAATCTATAAATCAGGTATGAGTGGGACCAAATGTGCGCATCATGCACCTCCAGTTCCTGACCACCATATTTCATCAGGATAGATCCAAAGCCTCAAAGGCGCGTCCCCATGATGAACCCCAAGAAGTGTCCCTCACTGGATCTCCAGGCGCCTGACCCCTATTGCTAATGGGCCTGGGAATTTTTTGCTATTTCACACCCTCTAACTACTTTTGCAGTGCCTAACCCATTTATTTTTTCTCTTTTTTTGTTGTTTATTTATTTAATTTTCTTTAAACCTTTTTTTTTCTTTTTACGAACATAAAAAATCACAAAATCACAAAATCACAAAAAATAGTAGATTTAAGTTTTTTATAAATTAAATTAATTTTGATCAATCATCTAATCACCTTTTTTTAATTAATGAACTAATTAGAATTAGGTTCTCATAATTTAATTATTTTTCGAAACAAAAATTAAAAACAAAAACAAATATTTCTTTTATCACTTAGAAATTTTTCTGAGGGTTTTTCTTCATCCTTTCATTTTTATTTCTTTCTCCTCGCGCTTCTTTTATTTATCCTGTTGTACCCCGAAATTTTCCCTCTCATTTTACTCAACACATGCCCATTGAGATGCTCAACTTGCTCAAGGATGCCCAAGAGTTGACCAGACAAACTCGCTCCTAAGGCAATGTGCCTCAAACTAGGGTTTCCATTTTTATCAAGATAGGTGAACTCCAAAGACCTCATATACTCTCCATGGTCCTAATATATTCTCAGTACCCTCCATGTCAAGTTTCAAGTCTTGCACAAGAAGTTTGCTCAGTCAACTGCTCAGATGCTTGAGAATCGACTGTATTAGGTCAAAAGTCAACTATGACCCACATACAGTCAAACTTCAATATTTTTGTTCAACATAAAAATTTTGAAGTTATATCCATCATTTGATCAAGGGTTGATCATGATTCCTCAAGGAATGGCCCAAATTCATCAAAACCCAAAAGTTGCTAAATTAGGGTTTCTCAGGAAAAATCAACCAAACTTTGACCAAGCATAACTTCCTCATAATTTATCAAACATTTCCATCCAAGGCTCATTTTGAAGAGGATGCAATTCCCTACAATTCATCTTCATCCCTCAAGTTCAAAATATGCACTCACAAAAAGATATGAATTTCCACATTATAGGTCCTTTTGA